TGCACATTGAATGCATTACTAGCCCCTTGATGGCCTTTAGTTCATCAAAACAACTATGAAAAAAACATAGAAATAATTCAAGGCATCCAGGTGACTTTGATAATGTAAAACAACTAACTAAAAGAAACCACAGTCTGTCTAAATTAAGTGTATGCATTGATGCCTCCGCCGAGTAAACATACATAATATGAAAGGTTTCACAGTAGATTCTATTAAAATCATGTTTTTGATCTTATTGTGTGATTTAAAAAAAAATAATAATAACCTCGTAATTTTTCATTAAAAGTCCTAACTTCTCTCCAAACTTTGTGGTGGTCATCTGCTTCCATTTCTGAATGCCACGCTCACATCTCAAAATCCAACTGACAACCGATGCATAGAACTAAGTTCCACCCTACATTTTTTTTTCTTTTTCAATATGGAAGAAAGATCAGTTACTACTTGTTTCATCGCAACTTTAACATCAGCTATGTACAGTAAAAGCAGGAGGCCTGTTAAGTGCTGATATTATCATACAATTATATATTCTGAGCAGAGCAGTTGTGCATATTGTACTTTAGTCAAGACTCAACAGTGAATAAAGCCTATTACAACCTTACTGACATTTTGCAAATTTAAAATAAAATTTTGCCTCAAGGTCATTCAAATTTTTGAACAAGCAAATTACATTTCCAAAATCAAATAAAACATCTTTATCCACCCGACACATATTGGTCCATGTGATAAGGTGACCTACTTTAACAAAACGATCCAAACACACCAAAGGGGACATTCATAATATAGCTGCACAATGATATGTGTTGTGTCAGAGCTATATACAGCACAAGAGGAGTACCAAATTGGCACATTTTGTTCCTTTGCTTTATAGCAAACTTGACTCATTTGTCATGAGCCTTAGATTAAAAACTGTAAACCTAATTATGCTTTAGTCATCAGCATGCTCTTCATAAAATCTATCATCATAACATGACAATGTCATGTGGTATTCTAATTGTGAAACTGTTTTAGTGGCATTTCTGATTATTCTGTCTCTTGAGATAAAGCGACATGCCTCGTATCAAGGGCAAGGCCAGACTGATATGATATTGTTTTTTCGGCAGCGGTAAATGTTCCAGAGGAGATCCACACTTGACTTTAGGCAAAACAAACAGTAGCTATAAAATGTCATTTGCATCTAAGCCATGTTCAATTATGGAACATTAAGAGTTTGTTTAAATAAAACACTCAAAGTATATGTAATCTGCAGGAGATATGCAAATGAGCTCCGAGTGACTCATACTGAGCAGTTCTGAGCTCATTTGTCCTTGCAGCACTCCTGCCACGTTTTCTGCCAGTGAACATGATACATGTCAAGGTCCTTTCATGTGTGTTTTATAGCTAAACACACTTTATATACAAAACTGAAATAGGTAAATGTGCTTTCATTATTATTTGGATCTTATTTGTCTTTCTACCCTCATTTGGGCGAGCTGGAAATTTTGCGAGCCAAATGATGTGTGCTGACACGACCAAACAATATTTTTAACCTTGCTAAATTGTAGTAATGCCCCAAAATTTCAGCAACTGAAAATATTCCATCGAAATGGCAGGAAAAAATATTTATTTAGGCATTTGGCCAAAATAGTTTTGGAGGGCCAAAATTATTGACCGACACAGTAAGTGCTTCTCTGATGATGTGTTTTGACTGTCAGTGTCTATTTCTTAAAGACATATGCTACAACAGGTAAAGACACACTTCACCGTGCCCTAAAGAAATGTATTGAGTAGGCATATATAAAATTTGTTTGGCCGAAATATTGAGTGGTGGCTCATTGCCAAAAAACGTTACGACTGGTTTATCATCTGTGAACACGACACCCTGAACAGCATACCGAGACTTGATTTTCGGCTAAATGAAAACTTTAATTTTAGTGCCTGTGTTTCTGTAAAAACGCAGGATCACTGTGTTTGCTGCACCAGGTGCCGCCATCTTGTAGCAGAACTTCACTTGCGTTAGCATTTCTATTGACTCCCATTCATTTTGGCGTCACTTTGACAGTGAATAACTTTACATCTGAGGCGTTTAAAGACTCCATTTGTCCATTATTTATTTCTAAAGAAACACGACAATGTATAAAAGGCTCCATTACTTTGCATCTTACGTTATGACCCCGTAGAAGCCGTTTTTGTAAAAATAGGCTAACGATTGCGTCATAACACGCGACTCTCTGTCGCACAGTAGAGAAAATTACCGTATAGACAGAAGTAGAAACTCGCACGCAATCGGGGGGACGTGGAGGCATAAAGTCAAGGGAGAAGCCCATAGAGAGTTGTAAAGTTGCTCCTGCTGCTAGCTCATGGACAGCTAATCCGGTTGTTAAGTCGTGACGTAACCACTCTCCGATAATACTGTTTCCGGGTCCAAAGGCCGGGTCCTCTCTACCTACCTACCGCTTTCGCCCGAGTTTTAACGTGTTCCCGTGTTGTTTAAATAGATCGGAGTTAAAAAACAAGTGACATTCAACTGTCATTCTACCGCTTTCCCTGTGACGAGAAAGATAAGAGAAAATGGCTGCAGTTGATAAGGTAAGTTACAAATCTTAAACGAATGAAGAAACTTTGGCGCCAGTGGGTGCTATCCCTTAATCCCTAGTAACACCCACTGGCACTGAAGCGAAAAAAGCCCTTAAGAAAAGGGTTTATTTAGTCTAGGATCTGGAGTGGACGAGCGGAGCGCTTGGGCCCGGAAGAGGCTAAACGTCACGCGTGACGTCAGACTTAACAACCGAATACTCACGATCTCCGGCTCTGCAAGTTTCGGAAGGGAATGATTCAGATTCCTCTTGGCACCGCTTCTAGAAGATTTACGTCTGTCAGACAGGTTGCTTACGTCATCAAGCTTAGTTTGAGTCGGTTTGAGTCTGCGCGTCAGGAATGGAAGTGCTCAAAAATCGCTAAAAATGGGCTTCAACTGTCTCAACTGAGTTCCAATGAGATGGCTCTGTCCACTTCTTATACTGTCTTATACTTTACAACGTCAACAGCGTCAGAGTGAGACTGACATGGAAGAGAAGAAACTGTTGAATAAAGTTGTTATTTTTGTTTGTTTTTTTTACGCACAAAAGGTATTCTCGTCACTTCATAACATTAAGGTTGAACCACTGTAGTCACATGGACTATTTTAACAATGTCACTACCTTTCTGGGCCTTGAAAGTGGTAATCACGTTGCAGTCTAGAGGGGTCAGAAATTTTATGGATTTTATAAAAATATCTTAATTTGTGTTCCGAAGATGAAAGAAGGTCTTATAGGGTTGGAACGACATAGAGTAAATGACAGAAATCTTATTTTTGGGTGAACTAACCCTTTAAACTTTCTCTTCAAGTAAAGCTGTCAGCTCTCATTAAAATTAAAGACAACGTTATTTGTCCAGTAAGCAATTGAGGAAAGAACAGCAATTCTGTAATGACTCCCCTGATGACCATTACTTGGATAAATCAGTCTGTGTGGCCAGTAGTCCTGATCTCAGCCAATCATTTAATGGAGAACAATCATGATCTGTCCACCATTGCTGAGTCTACAATGTCTGTGTATATTACCTGGTAGTGGCCACCAATTGCAAAGAAAATTATTAAAATTATAGTTTCAAAGAGCTGTAAAAAACATATATTTTTTTTTTTATAAAATTCTGACCTTTTGTATAATGGAGTTTGCATGATCAATATCATGTGCCCTGAGCTGCAGAATTTAAAGTATTTCTTATTAATTTTACATCATAATTTCTTGATAAAAACCCCCAACTAAATCAGTAGGCTATATTTCCAGGTTTAAATAAACTAAATCCCATATTTTTAATGTGTTCTTAAACTTTTGGATCATCAAACTATAGTTAAATTAATGTGTAGTGCTCTCAGAAATATATATATATATTTCAAGTCACCCAAAACAGTTACCCAGCAAACTGCTAATTCCTGCCAATCACATCTCAATCAATTGAGAGGGGCAACGCCTTCAGAACTTCACAGAGGCGCGACTAAACATTCCAGAAATAGCGAAAGAGAGACAGCGCAGCTTAGTGTTTGTTTACATTTGAGCGATACGCCGCAGTTTCTTTGGAAGATATGGAGAGGGAGAGAAATGAAAGGGGTTCTATCGGGAGAGACTAAATAACAATGCTAGCCAGCTTTATTTAGGGAAACATCAAAAAAGTAAACTGAATGCGTTATGCATGTTACTTATAATGCGTTACCCCAACACTGCTAATTTCAGATGAGATTGAAAAAAACGTATCGCTAAGTTTTCTCAGAAGAGGACTATGCTAGAAATGTGTCCATCTTGAACATAATCAGAATTATCAGCTAATAAGGGTAAATTGACATACTCTGGTACACTGGAGAGAGCACCTGAGTGGCTTCCACAGTTGTACCTTGACAGGCTGTAGAAAATTCTGATGGAATCACGTCCCCATGTTCTGAATCTGATATCAAAGATGTTTGTGTTTTATATGTTTGATTATTGTATTATGTTTAATACCGTATCTCTTCAGTTTAAACCATTAATGCATGCTGTCCACTCAAGTGGACATCTGGAAATCTCTTTGAAAAAATTGTTTTAAAAAAAATCTAATCAAATCTTGTTTTTCATGCCCTAAGAGCAATAAAAACACATAGGAAAAAAAATCCTGACTGAGGTTATCATAATTCATGCATTAAGGGTTATATTATATATAATATGTTGACATACGTTAAAATATTTATTTTGGAATTAAACTACTGGTTAATATGTCATACTTATTCATATAAATCTTTTTTGTTACTACTGCAAATTTTCTGTTCTGAATCTGTGTGACAAAAAAAGACAATTCTCTTATAGAGCACTAGAGGGCACCCATGGGGTAGGGTAAAAAAAGGACACTTCCGTCTGACGTTGCGTGAGCGTTGACTGACAGTTTTCTTAACTAATTACATTGAAGTTAAGCTCCAATGAGGCGTAACCAAGAGCACAAACGCAGCCAATCACAGCGTAGCAAGAGCAAGCAACGCGTCCAGAAGTGAGGTGTCTATTTCTGCCGTAGATGGTATCGAATCAAGTAGAAAGTTGAAAACTGCTAATATATGGTTGAAAATTGTGATTAGAATGAATGGAACAGCATATTCAAACTTTGACAATCAAGAGCACGTTCTCAAACTAGGCGAAACCTTTGAGAAACAACCTAAAAGTGCATTTCACACGGTACGATGTAAGTGGTATCTTTTACATTATTATATGTATATTATAATATTCATATAAACTCATTAATAGAAAACATATTTTGAAAAAGAAAAGGAGCTGTTTTGTACGTTGCTACTGAAACCATGCGTTGTTTTCAAACAAAACGCACAGGCATATGAGAAGGCAGCTAACTGTTATGTGCTTTTCCACCTTGCTGGATAAAGATCAGATTTGTAATGTTGTTTGGAAATTATAAAAAAAGCATCTGTCTTTGTGCTTATAATGGAAACATCATAAACGAACTGTGGTATCAAATGAAATCTTGGGCATTAATGGGCAACATTAAATTCACGAGGAATTAATGACTTTATATTATAATAGGACAGACACGTGCGCCCTCTGTAGGTTATACAGTAGTACTAGACTACTTAAGTCAGCAATTGCTCATCTGATTATGAATTATGAATGTTTTCTTCCTGTTCATAGATGATTTTAAACCAGCCTCCATAGATACAACATGTGAGGGGGATCTGGAAGTGGGCAAAGGAGAGCAAGTTACAATCACACTACCGAACTTGGAGGTAAGTTTGATAGCCTTATTCTACAAAACAGTTATTTTCTGTAGCACAGGTAATTCAGCTGAATCTTTTTCTCACCCCTCAACCTTCACAGGGATCCACAGCACCTGTTACTGTGTTTAAAGGTTCTAAAAGGCCTTATATGAAAGAATGTATTCTCATTGTTAACCATGACACAGGAGAGTATCGTCTGGAGAAACTCAGCAGTAACATCGCGGTCAAGAAGACCAGGTAATATAGCTTTTGTGTTCCAATTCATATGGATTTATAATTTATTTCATGATATATTTCTTTAAAGCTTGTATTAAGTAAATAAATCCTGCTTTTTATGCAGGGCTGAGGGAAGCAGTAAGGTTCAGTCACGGCTGGAGCAGCAAACCAGCAGGCTCAGTCAGCAGATGAAGACAGGCAGTGGAAGCAAGGCTCCCTCCAGCACCAAGAGCTCTCCTCCTAAGGAGAAAATGTCTCCATCATCTCCCATGGATGATATTGAGCGAGGTAATGTGTGTGTCTTGCTAAAAGCTGGAAGGAAAAAGTAGCAAACAAGGTTTTTGACTAGTTCAGTTAGTACAATTAGCAGGACACCAGCTTGATGAACCAAAAACATTAAAAAAAATACTCTACCGTTCAAAAGTTTGGGGTAATTAAGATTTCTTTTTTAAATGCAATTAACAGTTTTATTCAGCAAGAGTACCTTAAAATGATCAAAAGTGACGGTAATGATTTTTACATTGTAAAAACAAAAACAAACAAAAAACTTTTCAAATAAATGCTGCTCTTTTAAATTTTCTATTAATCAAACTGGCAAGTTGTATTATAATTTCCACAAAAATATTAAGCAGCACAACTGTTTTTGACATCGATAATAAGAAATGTTTCTTGAACAGCAAATCAGCATATTATAATGATTTCTGAAGGATTAATGTTATGATGCTGAAAATTCAGCTTTGCCATCATCGGAATAAATTACTCTTTAAAAATTAAGATAAGCCGGGTGCAGGGTTTTACAAGACTGTCCTGGGATTTACATCATCAATCCGTGACACATTCAGTGACTAAGCTGCATTTACATGTGGGATAAAAATTGTAGCTAGCAAACAAAAACAATCTCTAGCGTTAATTTTGATCGTGGCTTTTCTTAGAAAAGAAAACTGGGGAAAAAGACGTGTGTGGAGCAGCAAGTGGGGGTTTGTTGTTGTCTCACTAATTGCGTCATCTGGTTCTGCGCTACTATTGGTCTTTAATTTGACTATTGTCGTAGTAGAAGCCACACTACAGGACTGTGTGTCAAATCTTCTGAGACTGCCAAAATTTTGTTGGAGGTAAGATTTGATCTTGGTCATTACTCTGCTGTTAGTGAACATGTCAAACTTTTGGCTTAGGATCAGAGGAATTTTTTAGGATTCACAAAATTTGTCTCAGACGGCCAAGTTGTGGCCAAAATCCAGACTGATCTCATGAAATGGCGTATGTATGACACGCCAATTCGTATTTCCATTTTTGGCGTGCTATCAACACGCATAATCGCTTTTCAGCGTGTTTATCAACGCCTTTGACTTAACGTTATATTACTGTATTATGTATATATAAATATATGACCTACCCCAACCCCGTCCCTAAACCTACCCGTCACTGGGGTTAATACCATTTATGAGTCTTCTCCTACCATCCTAGGAAAAGAAATATCGCTCCACAGATGTAGATATAGATTTTGCTTTGTTTCGCTCGGACATTTAACGGCGTACACATACACGCGGAATCACTCGGACGTTTAATGGCGTAGACATACACGCAAAAGATTTCGGCGTGGACATACACGCGGATAGCTCAAAATGCGTATAGATAACACGCCACTTGAATTGAAAGTGGCGTGTATGTTTACACAAAGTCATGATGTCATGTTGCCAAAATCGCACGTTGTGAACCCGGCTATAGAAACAGTCATTTTAAATCGTAATAACAAATTGTAATATTTTCAAATATGTTCAAAACCGACCCTAAACTTTTAGTGTAAATGCTAGTGTTAAAGAATTCTTGAATAGTACTTGAATTCTTTTGCGAATTCTTCTAGTTTTCATGTGTTTGTGCAGAGCTCATGGCCGAGGCGCGTGACATGGAGCAGATGAGCAGTGGAGACAGCTCCTCAGATTCCCACAGTTCCTCCTCATCCAGTAGTGGGGACAGTTCCAGCAGCGACTCCGAGGACGAGAGTCGCCCTCCGCATAATACGCCCCCAGTCCCCCCACAGAGCACCTCTGCCCTCAACACATCTCAAAGCCGCGTGGAAGAGAGCAGCGGGCATTTCATGAACACGCTCAGTGAGTTTCAGGGCTGCTGGGGGATTTTAGTTGGTCTGACGTTATCTTTTGTGTGTCTAATATGCTAATATTTGATTTATTCCAGAAAATGATCTCCAGTTGAGTGAGTCTGGGAGTGAAAGTGACGATGACTGATTGCAAAGACGTGTTGGACATCTGATGCTGAAAGAGTGTCATGTTTTCAGGAAGTACAGTATCTGTTCACTAGTTAAAATTTTATGTGAAACCTGAATCCAAATCACTATCCCTATCAACTTTTTAGTTATGAAATCTTTTCTTTCCCCTAGTTTCTTAGTAATACTTGCATCAGCACAAGCTGTCATTGGACACAAAGCTGGGGGGTTTGCTTTATTAGTAAATTAAGAAAAGGTATTTATTTTGTTAAGAATGCTACTGCATAGATGTTAGTTTTATAGGAATGTCCTATAGATGCTTCCTCAAAGGTTATAGAAATATATCTATTTCTGAGATAACTGTTTAGAAAGATCACCATGGTCATGTTATAATATATATATTTTTTTGAAGCTTAACATTCTCAAGCACATGTGAATCAGCAGAATATTATTAGGAATCTTAAGGAGCATGAGTGCATTAATGTGCCAAGCTCAGTCTCAGTAATCTCAGATACACATTACCCGACCTGCAATACTTGAATTTTTTTCTTTGATGATTCGGAGAGATTTGTTCATAACACACTGTGCCTTGTATATAAGGTGTATTTTGAATATCCATCCCATTCTCTTGCATTGAAGTTTACCCATTGTTTTAAATTCCTGCTTGGATTCCTTAAGATGTAATCTCCATTTCGATGTAGAAGCCTATGTGTCGTGTGTCTTACTGTACGCCTCTGGCAGGCCCAAAAGCAACACTCTTCACTCTTTATCCAGCCCTTCTTGAGCACTAATTGCAAAATATGACGTGCCATCCTATGTATTATACTATAGTAAGGTTGACTGATGTGGTAAATGTAGTTCTGTGGGAGGTGTTTGATCATTAAAATTGTGTATAGACAAAGACTTGTTTTCGCGATGTTTATTTGTTGATCATTTTCATAGAACACCTTTTTTCAGCATCTGAGCTGCAAAGTTTTAACCTGCAGTAGCTTCATGTTGTGGCAAGATTAACTTGATCAAGCAATACTCCAATTATACTGAGGGTTTCAATATGCAGTAAATCTTTTTGAACATTATGCAATCATTGTTTGGATTTATTGATATGACTTTTTAGAGGCACAGACTTTAAAAACAGGCATTGGTTTATTTCTGAAGCAAAGATCATCTCTACTATGGAAATATATATATTTTTTGTGTGTGTGTGCATTCAACCGTCTCTCTATCACATTTAACTTTCACCCTTCCTTCGCACTTTGTAACACATCTTTCCCGCACGGGTCAAAATGACCCGAAGCCCATTTTGTCCAGAAAGCTTATTTCATGTTGATAATATTTCTTCAATTTTTTAATGCAATTTTTTGGGAGATTTTATTTGACATTTTATGCATCTTTAAATTACTAGATTTGAGAAATAAATAGTAATTTAAGCACATTCCTCACATTCTTTCAACTTCACAATAACTCAATTTTTACTCAATTATTAATCAATAATTCAGCTCAAAATATCTTACATTGGGTGTCTTTGCTGACCTCTTGTGGAAAAAAATAATATAACATGATATTTTATGACTCTTGCCACTAGATGGCCTTATAGCTCTATTTGGAGCAAATGAGCTGTTCCGCTGGGTGCTAAAGTCATTTTTCTTCATTTTACTAGTAATGTAATGAGATGGTAATGAGACGCGTTTGTAAACCATGTTTTCCGCCAAAAATAAAAGCTCGATGCAGTTTCCGTTAAAATAAAAGATCACATGTTTATCTCTTTCAAGTTTAGAAATTGGTACAAAACTAATTATGAAAGTTTATTTTATTTTTCAGTGCATTTGTTTTACAATATACGGCTATTACTGTCATGGGATTAATATTATAACTTTTATTATGTAGTAGTGTAATGTAGACACTAACGTTATATCACAAATAAGTTTTGTGATAGTTGCTGCTTACATTAAAAGGTATTTTTGTTGCAACAACAAAAATGGTTATTACTTGATACTTGTATTCAGCAAGGATGCGTTCAATTGATTAAAAGTTACAGTAAAACATTGTAAATTTTCAGCTTTGCCATCACAGAAATAGATAAAAATTTAAACAATAAAAATAGAAAGCTGTTTTAATTATATTATTTTGCAATATTACTGATTTACTGTCATTTTGATTAAATAAATATAGCCTCTTGTGCATGAGACACTTCTTTCAAAAGCATTAAAAACTCTTACCAACTCCAAGCTTTTGAAAGGTAGGCTAATACATTCCCTTGAAATTACAGTAACACTCAGCAAGATTCTTACATCGTTGTTTATTATAATTTGAAGTAGCAACAGTATTTTGTCGGAAACAACGGTTCCCGTTGAGTAATATTGCAACACTGGCGGCTTTTACAGAATCACAACGATGACTAGCAGCGAGTTTCCTCAAATTCATGCGCAGGGGAAGAGCTGCTTCTGGCACAGACTGCCATTACAGGGCAGACCACTGCTGTTGCAGGACTCTTATACATCCACTGTGCTGTGGACTACGGGATTAGATATGTTTTCCAATTCCTTTCTTAGAACTGGATTATTTTTATGTAAGCAGGACAGCAGTGGTATTAAATGCTTGCCATCGATATTCCTCAGCGTTGGGACCCGGACAGCCAGTACGCTGATAGGTGGTGATAAACAAAAAACCATGGACGACTTGGATGGTCCTAGCTTTCTGACATCATTATACTGGCTTTTTGGAAAAGGTTATTTTCAAACGACACATCAAATGCAGGTAAATATTCATAAAAACGTAGTCTATTGGGTTTAGTGTTTATTAGTTTAAACTCAAAATCGTCATGTTTGGTTCATGTTTTATGCCTTTTAACGTTACCACTTTTAATGAATGAGATGTATTTTCCATGAAAATATTAACAATCTACGAATAGCTCTCATACACCCATATATATTTATGTTTATAAAGTTATAGTTTATGAAGACCTCCGATGCAAAAGCCTCTAAAACCCACCTATGTCAAAAATGAGATAATAATATTGAGTGAATGCTCTCCGCACATAGTATACATTCATCAAATACTTTCACTTCAAACTTAAAATAAGGGGGGTTAAAATACTAACGTGCCTAAGACTTTTGCACAGTACTGTGTGTGTGTGTGTGTGTGTATATATATATATATATATATATATATATATATATATATACATATATATACACACATATATATATATATATGTATATATATATATATGTGTGTGTGTATGTTGCGAATTAGCCTTGGCTCTAAACACTGTGATTCAGGCATCGGATTGTTCTTTATGTAATAATCTATGTTCTTTTGTATCTGTCCCTATTCAAATAAACAATAAGTAAAAAAATTAAATAAAACAATATATGTATATATACAGCTCTGGAAAAAATTAAGAGACCACGTCAAACCACTGACAACATTTCTTCCAAATTTCAAATAAAGTCATTTGATAGCTAGTCAAAATAAAGAAAAAAAGATGCCATGTTTTCAGACCTCGAATAATGCAAAGAAAACAATTCTGTATTAATTTTTAAACAACAGAAGTTTTAACTTGGGAAGAGTTCAGAAACCAATATTTGGTGGAATAACCATGACTTTCAGTCACAGCTTTCATGCGTCTTGGCATGCTCCCTATCAGTCTGTCACATTGCTGTTGGGCGACTTTATGCCACTCCTGATTGACACTCAACTCTCTCCACTCGCCTATATAAACAAGAAAACTGATGACAATAAGAAACTTAGTACCTTCTATGCTTTTAGATTTTTTTTTCATGTTGGTCATGTGAGGTTAAAATGTTTTACTGAATCTTTTTTGTTTATTTACTTTAAAATGTGTAATTAATGCAGATAGAGCACAGCAAAATCTACGGCCCACTTTGGAAGTCCAAATATGGACCATTGGTTATTGTTAATGTGGCCAGTGCAGACCTCATAGAACAGGTTTTGCGGCAAGAGGGTCGCCATCCCATCCGCACTGACATGCCCCACTGGAGAGGCTACCGGAAACTCCGGAATCATGCCTATGGACCCCTCACAGAGTGAGTAACACTGGAGACTGGCACAAGCATTCATCTGTCACTTATGCATTCATTGCAAAGATAATGTAAAGCCAAAAAGCTGTGAGCTATGCTGCAAAGGTATAAAGACACCTGCAGATGTTATGAAGCCACAAATATACTGTGCATGTCTAAACATGTTTTGAATAGCAGCTTGCAGTTGATGTACAAAATGGAAACATGTCTGAGGGCGCTGTGCGTCGAACAATAAATCAAAACAGTTTTTGTAATTTGTATGCTTCATAACCCTTTTTAGTGAGGAAAATAGGGAATTGTTTTTGAGATCTTACATTGAACAATGAAATTACAGTGAACCTCCTCTGTAAAGGAGGACAACAGAAGCAATCAATAGATGCAAGTGTAAGTGGGAAAACTGGTTTTGAGGAAACCTATCCGCCAAACCTAAAGCAAAAATAGAGGGCTACACTCTTAAAAAGCTTGAAAATTAACATCCATGTTACCTTTCCATTTCACACAAGGTTCTTTATAGTGTAAAAATATCCCTTGAAAATGTTCTTTACACTACGAAAATAATGGTTCTTTTAAGATCTGTTCACTGAAAGGTTAGGGAACCCAAAATGTTTCTTCCATGGCATTGCTTCGAAAACCTGCTTTGGTGATCTTTATTTTTAAGAGTGTATCTTTCACTGTTCAGAGGTCAATCATAAAATGACCATGAGGACACTGCATGAATTTGATCAAAAATACCTCATACTCAATGTTCTGAACTTATTTTAAATATAAAATGCTATATCATTGCAAATTATCATGTGTGACAGTCATTATGCTTACAGAAATGGCAGTACTTCTCATAATATATGTGTTGTCCTGTTACAGAATGGGAGCGGAGTGGCAGCGCATCAGAAGCATACTGAATCCTCGCATGCTGAAGCCCAAACACGTGTCCTCCTACACTAATGCCATTAATAGCGTGGTGAGCGACTTTATTGAGAAGGTGGCTAAGCTTAAGACAACAAAAGGCAATGACGTTATGGTGTATGACTTGGCAGGAGAATTGTACAAGTTCGCTTTTGAAGGTAAATAATACTGGGTAATTTCAAGGTCAAGATAATTAGGCTGTGCCATAAAGACATTTCCAGGCATTCATATTAACAGAGCTTTAATGAATTGCTGATTTACAGGAGTGAAACATGTGAGTACAAAGGGTCAATGCCACACATGAGATAACAAAGGCCACTGGATATCATAGCTCCTAGTCATGTGCAGCAGACTTTATCTTAATTTCTCTTCCTTTCAAATAGATCAATGTCAAAAGAAGACCTGGAAAGCAATTGTGCTCTCAAATATCTTGGGCTTAAAGTTAAACTCAAATACTAGTATTGTTTTAGATTCATTGTCTTGTTGTACTTTGTTATATTTGATATACCGTATATTTGGTAACAAGCACTGTGTCCATCACAGTAATATTGTTATTATCTTTCTCATCAGGAATTTGCTCAGTGTTATTTGAAACTCGTATGGGGTGTCTTAATGATGTGGTTCCTGAAGAAACACAGAAGTTTATCTTCTCTGTGGGGGAGATGTTCCGTCTTTCTCCCATCGTGATCCTGTTTCCCAAATCTCTCTGGCCCTACATGCCTTTTTGGAAGCATTTTGTGGCTGTTTGGGACCATTTGTTCAAAGTTGGTTAGTCTGTTTTTATTAATGTCCTGTTTAAAAAATATTAAAATTAATGCAATTATTATTAATAATAAAAGTTTTTTTTATTGCCATGTTTATATATAGACTACTGTTCAAAAGTTTGAGGTTGGTAAGATTTTTTGGTTACACTTTATTTTAAGGTGTCCTTGTTACAGTGTAATTATACATTTAAGTACAGAGTAATAGTAATTA